GTCTCTTGGAGGAGAGACGAAACGTTTCATTAGAGAAGAACCCGTCCAGAAGACCTATACAATTTTTTTCTTTTTTAGTGTCGTGGGTTTGAAGTTTAGGTGGCAAGAGTAAGGCTCATCCATGTGCAACAAATGGCCTGTGTGAGCATCACAGGTCCCATCAGAACAACACCCACTGAGCCACTGAAGTCTTTGATGTTCTATTGGACCTGGCTCCACTAGATTTAAATATCTTAGAGGAGGTTGCATTCAGTGCAACAAGATTACGCCAGTCTGGAAGGTGGAAAAGCCTCTTGACTCACAACACACTAGTATACAAGCTTCTTCCTACACAAGTAAAATTAAACAAAATATCACCTGGAGCCACATTTAAAGAAAGTTTTATTATATTATGTGTTAATACATGTTCCAATGCATTTGAAGGTTTAGGCATTTATGTGATATATAATGTATCACTGGTAATGGGGTAGTGTGTGGTCACGTAAAATACATCATCCAAAAAACTAGGCTGTCAGCCTACCTGGACTTTGAAAGGTGTGGCCTCTGTGGGTCGTGATCTCTATTACCTGCAACCCCTGAATATCAATACTGCCAGAAATTGTGTCAGCCTCATGGACAGAAACAGGAATAACATTAACTAAAAGCTCTGCCTTCCATTTTAGAAACTCTAGGAACAACAAGTAAACCTGCAGTCTGAAAGTGAAGTGCTCTGTTAGGACATTTTTAAATAAAGATCTTAAATACATAATGGATTTTTGTTGTTGAGGGTTTTGTATGACAGCTTATTGCTCTTAGAAGTGAGATTTTATTATTCTATATTTGATTTAACAGGGAGGTAAAAGCTTACATTGGAAAAGGTTGAACTGTTACGATTGTAAAGTAAAACTTGTGCACTTAAAAATAAAATATTTCATTTTAAAGCATATATATTCTGTTAATAATAAATGCTGAAAGTTACTCAAAAATGGAAGAAAAGTCGTTTTTTTTTTCACTTCAGCTGGTGGGATTATATCTGTTTCTGTGGCAGCATTTCATATTCTGTACTTTTTTAGTTTTGGGTTGTTTTTATGTTAGCATGCAGAATTGGTATTAAAACAAAAACAATCATATTCCACAACCACAGTCATATTTTTCTGTGTATATTTCTGTTGACGTTTCACGTTCCCAGTGGTGGGCAGCTCTAATCCAAAAATTAGCTCAGCAATTTCTAAAGCGCTTATGTAAATATTTAGTTCCGCAACTCCAAAAGYACTTATACCATAGAAAAGCTACCGGAAGATAATTTTAAAGCGCAAGTTCAATTTGACACTTACTAGCCAGCAACAATTCATGTACAATATATGCACAACACTGCCAACTAGCGGTGTATGAACTCTTTTACAGCTTATTTCTACAACCACCGAATGCTGGGGATGTGATTTCCTGAAACAGACCTTTAGGTCCTGGTGTAAAAATGAAAAAGTTGTTGAGGATTGCTAGTTCGGCTGCTTCTTTGTCTTTTTCTTTTGTTTGTTGTAGATTTTTCATTAAMGATGAATCAATAAAGTAATTTTAAAACTGTTTATTGGAAAACTGAAGCGATGCATTCTGGGTACATGACGGATTTGATTTGTGACTGGAAATGAAAGCATAGAGTACAGGAAACTATCTTCCCTTCAAAATAAGAACATGGATTTKAAAGTTTTCCATGTAGTTGCTCCAGTTGACCACTAGATGTCAGTCTTCATCAGCATAACATCTTTAAATCCCTTCTGCATCTCTAACTCCGTTGGCTGATTGCTTTGACCAGTTACGTCAAGTATTGAGCTCCAGCGTTTAAACTTTTTTTTTTTTTAAAAAAGGATCTCCGATTGTAAAGTAAAATAAATCAATACATACAAAATTTTAGTATGGATTACAAACGTTAACTGTTTTTGCTATTGCCTTCCTGCTACATAAGCAGACACAAAGCATTGTGGGAAATGAGAACCCTGACCGAAAGCAACAGTCAGCAAAGCTGTATAGCTTCTCAATACGTGTGTTTATCTGGGAGGGGTGCTGTTGGACAGATCACGTGTGTTGTGATTCATTGACAGCCATACCTTACGCTGTTCAAGATAATGATGACTGGTAGATAATTAATTATTATTGGTACTGCATTTTAATTTTAGAAAGCGCAAATCCGCTTATGAATTAGTATAAAAATTAGTAAGACCGCTAAAGCGCAAAAGAAATATTTAGGTCCGCAATCAGCGGATTTGCACTTTAGCGGGTTGGTGCCCACCACTGCACGTTCCTTCAAAATTTCTGCATTCACCTCTCTCTTTAGGTAAGAATGTTTCATTAATAAAAAAAATGTCTGCTCCGGTTTTGGTTAGTCGTAACCAGAGCGAATGCCCTTGATTTTATCCACTGTAAAAATGGGAAAGGGGCTCAGAGTCGTGGTGGATCTCAACTACACTCCCTAAACTCCCATTCTCCCCCCTCCCTCCGCCCCTCCTCTTTACAGCGAACCCAATGTGCTAGATGAGTCCCAGGGCCTTCTGCAGGAGGGTAACCTCTCTAGGTACAGTGGCCCCCCTCTGTGTGTGTGTGTCCCATCTGTCCGCCACTGGGGAGGGGCATCGCCTCGGGACGGCCTCCTCTACAGGCCGTCAATCACTCATCCACATTCAATCCAATCGCCTCGGCCTTGTCACACCTCTCCCTGCCCCCCCACACACACTTTCCTGTCTCTTTCTGTGTGAGTCCTACTTGTTTTTAGCTCCACACTGACCCTCATCAGCTCATCTGCTGTGCTATCCTAACCAGGCAACCCCTGCTCCCTTTCTCTAATACCAAAAAAAAGAAGCTAAAGAGGCCCCTGCCTGGGGAGTCAGGGAGCTCCGTTCCTCCTGTTCGCTGTGGGTCTTTCTAGTTGATGTGCCATCACCAAAAGTCAGCCTTTTCTCCCATTGGTATGACGCAGTATTAGGGCCAAAATTAAGGCTATTGCACACCCAGCTCTGGCTGTGTCTTTGTAAGAGGATCTATATCTATCCCTTAGCCAATAGGCTTGCACCAGTAACTGACAGCCGGCGCTGGAAAATAAATAGGTGACTACATGTATGTGCTAGCATTAGAAATGCTAGAAACTAGCATGCCTTGGCTGGCCACCCACTATAATTCCTACTCCTTCTGCTGTCCGTTAGCATTGGGTAAGCTGGCTTTAACATCAGATAAGATGACCTAAGCATTAAATAGGTTGGCTTTAGCATTGAATATGATTGTTTTAGCATTGCAAAGGCTGGCTTTAGCATTGGATAAGATGGCCCTAGCGTTAGATAGGACTGCTTAAGCATTGAATTGGCTGGCTTTAGCATTGGATAAGTTGGCTTTAGCATTGGATAAGTTGGCTTTAGCATTGAATAGGCTAGCTTTAGCATTGAATAAGATGGCTTTAGCCTTGGGAAGGTTGACTTTAGCAATGGATAGGCTGGCTTTAACATTGGATATGATGGCTTAAGCTTTGGATGGGTTTGCTTAAGCATTGAATTGGCTGGCTTAGCACTGGATTGGGGCGCTTAAGCATTGAATATGCTAGATTTAGCATTGTATAGGCTGGCTTTAGCATTGAATAGGTTGGCTTTAGCATTGGGCAGGCTGGTTTTAGCATTGAATAGGCTGTTTTTTGCTTTGAATAGGCTGCATTGACAGGTGCTCTTCTGACAGAATGCACTGTTACTCAAAATGAGATCAAGCATAAATATTAAACATAAAACATATGTACAGAATATTACAACAGAGTATCAGGGCCAGACTGATTTTCTTTTCTTTTAAATAGTGAGAATATTGAGATATAGCATCCCGGTACAAGGACGTAGCCAACTCTAGGTGTGTAATAGTCTGAATTTTTGCCCTAATACCGCACCATACTTTGGTGCCATGGTGTCTCATGCTGTCCCCGTGTCTCTCAGGCTTCTCACTGATCAAATTGGGCTTCCTGCTGTGGATACCAATCTGTAGGGGCAAAGGGGGACCTGGAGTGGCAACCAGTACACAAATACATCTTTCTTTTGTTTTTTGTTTTTTCTTTACCTCTTGTTATTTGTGAATTTAAAAAAAAGAAAAATCTAGTTTTTTGGTCTTTTTTTATTTATTTTATTTTATTTTATTGCTTGTCAGTGTTGCTACTCCAGCCCCTACTACCCCTGTTGTGTTTTGGGTGTTTAAATCATAGCAGCACTGTTATAGTTTCTGTGACTTGTCGTATTTGTAGCACACTGTGTGTGTCGTTGTAGTGTGGGTGTGGGTAGTTTTAGCAGCAACATGTTGTGATCAAACGTGGGTTCAACAAGCGACCACAGGTGGAGATGTGGCATCCTTCTGAGTCCCTTCATGGCAACGTATTCATGCGTGTGTTTTTTTTCTGAATGTGTAAATGTGAATAAACCAGGGTTGCCAGCGTGCAGAGTGAGCCGGGCCAGCAGAACCTTCTGATCCAGCCTCCACTGGGACGGAAACGAGGACTCAGACAGGTGAGGACACTAAAATAACATAAATTAGTTCTGTAAATTATCACCACACGTGTGTCTCCTCTGCAGCTGCGACGCCCTCTGCTGTCCATCCCGAAGACTGAACCACGAGGCCGGTCTGGAGCCAGGCTCTCCACGACACGCAGGAGCATCCAGCCCAAGAATAAACCACTGGGTAATGGCTCGTTAGCTCTTGCGTGTGTGTGTGGCTGTAGATATGAGATGATGAAAGGGCAGATTTATCTGGGTGACTCACAGAAAACCTGACAACACCCACCCTGAGCTTCAGATTCAGCACACAACAWCCCAAAAGCATTTGAAGCCAAATCTACCGATAAGGTGCAGTTTTCCATGTGTGTGTGCTGATTAAACTGAGCTCTCCTCCCCCGACTCCTTTTTAAATAAACAACCTCTGCTGTTTGCTGCATCACTTGTCACCAGACTGACTCTTGTCACTCTGTTCTGTCCTTATGTTTCAAAATAAAGAAACTTTATTGGACTGTGAAGGTGAGACACAGCCGTAAACCCTTCCTCTCCACCCTGCAACAGCCCGCCCCCCTGCCCCCCACCCCCTTTTATTTGTTTTAATCTGCAACCTCACCTGATAGGACGCTCTGCATGCTTGCCTTGCTCCCCCCTACCGCCAGTCCCTCCCCCGCCTCCTGCCCCCAAGCCTCCACCCTCTTTGGTGGTGCTGATGTGTTAGCGCGTCTCCAGGTGGCGCTGTCATGTTTKTTTTTGACTGCGTGCGTCTACAGCGCAGGGAGACCAGAAGAGATCCGTCACCTTCACAGAGAGCCAGGGCCAGCAGGCGGCTCCCGGCGCAGCAGAGCCTCCAGATGAAAGCAGAAAGGTCAGTCCCGCTCCGTCGAAGTCGCCAACGCTGAAGGTGTCCCCGGTCGTCCCAGCGACAGTCACCGCTGACCTGCACACACAGGTAGGGGCAAAGGTGAAGAGGCATTAGCTGTAGGGTCCTATTCAGACCTGGTGTATAAATCCATCTTTAGCTAAATACAGGTGTGTACAGCCTCAGTGTGCACTACTGATGTTTTCATTCTATCTTTAGAGGTGATCTGGACTGCTTTTATCTCCAAAACTTTAGGTTCACTAACCCCAGATCTGCTACTGAAATATTAGCTTCTCAAACACTAAACCACTAAACAGGTAACAAAATCAGCTGAAGCCAACGCTAATTAAATTTAGCAGACGCTAACTGATATGAGAAAAAGGAAGATCTGCTCTGGTTCAGCTGCTCAGCGCAGCTTTGCTCCTCATGAACAAACATGCCCACAAAGTTCTAACCAATCACAGGCTCCGAGCCGCAAGGTCCGCATCGCAGAGTTCTGACTGGGGGCAATGAACACGACTGCTGTCACTGGGGGACAGCAGTGGGAGAGCAGACCCAAGTTATGCTATTTTTTGCCACTTAGCAGGGGGAACAAGATGTGCAACTCAAAGTAAAAACCAGCCTTAAGGACTGAAATACAATATAAATTATACAGCGGGTAAAATAAGTATTGAACACGTCACCATTTTTCTCAGTAAATATATTACTAGAGGTGCTAATGTAAAGAACCCTCTCCTCTATGAGATTAATACCAGCTTAACCCCATAAAGTCATGTTCCACAAGAT